GCTCTGAGATGAAAATGGAGCATGTTTTAGGATTACATGTTTACCATTTTGATAGCATCCAGAGCCTGTGCTTTTTATCACCAGAAAAATTCCTTCACAATGACAATTCCTTCATGTCTTCAATGTGGGGGCTTGTCTATCTTAAGGACATTCAATGTGAGTAGAGGTCGTTATTCATAATAGTGTATACTAGAAGCTCTCTGAAGCCTGGGCTTTGTCTCATTCATCCCTGTGTATTCTGTGCCTAGCACCATGTCCTTCATATAGTAGGTGCTTAAAAATGTTTGATAAAAGAGTGAAATAAAATGAATGTTTCCTGAGGCATGGATCCATTAGCTGATATTTAAACTTGCAGGACTTAGAGCTGAAGGCGGGCCTGGAGGAACCCATCTAAGTCTGTAGATTTCAGAGTGGTCTTCAGAGTCCATTCAACACATTTCTGTTGAGCACCTCGTAAGGAGCTAACATTGTGCTAGGTCACAGCGGGGAGCAATAAGGCTTCTCTGTTCATGGAACTTAGAATTCAGGTCACCTGATTCTAGAACATCAAGCTACATTCCTGATTGAAACTATGGTTTTGTCACATATCCATAAGACAACTGGAAAGGGACGTGCAGACCAAATTGAAAAATGAGCTGCAAACAAATGGGATCCCCCAGAACTTTCTAAGAGGTGGCACAATGTGCTCTGCTATTCTGCTATTTCCAGCTACCACCTCATCCTCTTCCCCTCCCCTTCCCCAGTCTTTATGAGAAGACTGGGAAAGGATGGGAAAGAGAACTGTGGAGCTGTCAGAAGGGCCATGATCTAGTGAGAATTTACTTTTTCCTCTCTGCGTCAAGGTCGATCTTGAAGAGTAGCTGGTCTTGCTGGTGCCTTATCCAAGAGGTCTGGTCAGGAAACTATCGGCAAGAGGGTGAAAGAGCTGCAGCCAGACCTCCCGCATACGGTACTGTGCAGTGGGGTGGCTCCTCAGAGTGCCCCTACTTTCTGCCACCAAAGAATTCATACGTGAGCTTCCCAGGATAGCCAGCATGGTCACAGGAGAAGCCACCCCACCAAGGGAGGGTCCTAGGAGTGGGCAGTGAAGCAAGAAGGCCTCAGTTCTCCCTTTCCCCCTCCTGACCTCTGCCCCAGAGGGGCTGTGCCTTTAGAAGGGAAAGGGAGTTTTATGTACCTGATGTATTTCATGATGTTTAAAAAGGAGGTGGGGAAGGTCATTGAGCAGATCCAAATCCTACCCCCACTTTGCATCCCTCAGATTGAGCCTGACTTGTATCATCGGGAGAGGAGGAGCTGGAATTTTAAATGGCATCAAGTTGGGGTTTCAAACTGGACTTTGGTAAGTGAGAGTGGCTATGGATTCTGCCCAAGATGATGTTAGTGGATAGAAAAGGAAGACAAACAGCTCGTGATGAAAGGCAGGAATAGGAAAATAGACCTATTTCACATTTTTCCCTCTTACTGAGTTGAGATTGCTCAGTAAGTACACGGATGGGTGTATGGAAGAATGGGCGGTTGGGTGGGGAAAGTGAGGGAGAGAAAAATTGAGGATGGCTCTAAGATTTGTGTGACATTGTGGTTCCACTGGCAAAGCGATAGTGTAGTTGGGATGTGTGTAATGGTGTGATAACAGGCAGAGAAAGAGAATTTTAAGTTAATTGAAGATGAGGATTAGGTATGTCTTAGTCAACACGGAACCCTCTGTGCCTTGCCAATTCTTTGTTTTCACTGGTGTCTTGGGGTGAGGAAGGTGAAGATGTGGGAATGTTTATGGCTTTGTGATTGATAAAAAGTATATCTTCTTGTACTTTACACCTTGGCTATGTAGGCTAAGCAACAGGAAAAAAAGACACAGGGTTAAAGAAAAAGTAAGGAAGAGGAACCAAAAATTATTCATCAAATAAAATCAATATATCTCACACTCCTACCAATTCAAGACTTATGAGGGTAAAGAAACTCTTCTTGTTTCTTTTAGTTTCATTTCTTTGCTTTTGTTTCTCCTGGCTCAGAAGGTTGCAAGCCTCAGCTGCCCCAAGTTCATCCCATTTGCTCCAGGTCTGGTCAGGTCACTGCTTATAATTCTGCCAGTCACTTGATTTTTTCATCAGGAAGAGGAAAGGAGAGGAAAAGAAATATGAACGAGAGGCTAAGCTCGTCAGCCTACTCCCAAGAAAACAAGCTGCACAAGCTCATGTGGTTTTCCTCACTCAGATAGTCTCTATATGCCTTCACTATAGGAACAACATATCTTCTCCAACAGCAAGTTCAGGGCATAGCCAAAGAAGAGGTGGAAAGCATGTTTTCAATTCAATCCATCTCAAACGCCACCATCTCTTGAGCATGCATGTGGGAATCTCAAAGTAATCACAACTTTATTTTAAGAAAAATTCTCTATGTATATTATTTGGGGTTTCAGTCTAAATTTGGCTTAACCAAAGAAAATACAGCACAATGAGGTAAACTAAAACAGGGGTTGGCAGTTTTTTTCAGCAGAGGCCTGACAGTAAATGATTTAGGCTTTGCAGGCCACAAGGTCTCTGTTGCAACTACTCAGCTTTTCTACTGTAGGGAGAAAGCAGCCATAGATAATATATACATGAGTGGGGATGGCTGTTTTCCAATAAAACTTTATTTATGGACTCTGAAATATGAATTTCATATGATTTTAATGTGTCACAAAATATTTTTTTTTTTCCAACTTATTAAAAATGTTGAAAGCCTTTTTTTAGCTCATGGGCTCTGCTAAAGCACATGGCAGACTGGCTCGGGACTTCAAGCCATTCTGTGCCACCTCTATTTAAATTGTTGCATTTATTCCACCACTTGTGAAGTGCTAAAGAGTGTGCTTTGTGTACTGAGATGCCATTCTCTTCCACAATGCATTAAACCAGAAGGAGTACACCTTAGAAAAAAATCTTTCTAGATGCCCCTGGAAGGATAGCTAGGAAATGATCAGACTTTTAGATAGCTTTTCTCTGCCTCTGTCCTGCAGCAGGCAATTCTGTCATAGCAAACCCAAACACACATATTTTATTTCTTCTATCATCCTCCAGGTGCAGAAATCAATAGGACTGATCACAGAAGCATGTGCCTTGGAAAAAACAAAATGTCTATGTGACTGCTGCCATCAGGCCCAAACAGGGCACTCCAGGACACAAGCCTATATGAGCCTCAGAGCCTGCCTGGGTGAAGCATGTCCCTGCTGAAACCCACACGCAGCTCAAGAGAGATGTAATTCCCAATGGTAATACTGCAGCTCTCTCCTGAAGGCTCTAAAATATGAAGTATTTCCCTATTCTTGCATTCCTGGTCCACAGAAATATTGCAGATGCTCCCAAGTCTTGCTCCTGATGCAGGGTGAATATAACACAAGTCCCGATGCCACTTCTGTGTAAGAACATCCTTTGGAGACTGGATGCCCAATCAGTACAGGTACGACTGCTCCAGCCAGCTGCAAAGGCTCAATGATATTAGGCACAGATTAGAGTGACTGTCTTAGTCTGTTCTGGCTGCTATAACAAAATACCTTAGACTGGGTAATTTATAAATAATAGAATGCATTTCTCACAGTTCTGGAAGCTGGAAAGTCCAAGATTAAGGTGCCAGCAGATTCAGTGTCTGGTGAGGTCCTCATTCCTCATCCACAGCACCTTCTTTCTGTCTTCCCATGGTGGAAGGGGCAAGGTAGCGTCCTTCAATCTCTATTATCTCATGAGGGTGGAGCCCTCGTGACCTAATCACTTCCCAAAGACCTCACCTCTTAAAACTTTCACATTGGGTATTAGGTTCCAACACATGAATTTTGGGGGTGGGGGGGTACAAAGACATGCAGACCATAGCAGTGACCAACCATTCCAGAAACTGTCCTGCGGGGGGGGGGGCGGTTCTCCAGGATGTGGGCTTTTCAAGTGCTAAAAGTGGGATGGTTGGTTTGCCCTAAAAATGAGCCCCCTCTTTTTCTATTTCTGTCTTCTTATCCCTCACCCAGTTATTCCAAGGATCCTTGGCCACCCAGAACTTCTTTGTGAAGCAGAAGGTGACCCAGGCTTGGGAAAGAAACTTTCTCTGTAAGAGCTCAGAAATACTCCACTTCATGCCTCTCCCAAAGTACAGATGTACTTTTTGTTATGAGCAAGCATACATGTTAGGAGATGCCCTTCTCAGTTGAAAGTGTTCTGATAGCTTTAACTTCTGCTTCGATCTTGCTTGAAAAGATCAGTTTATAAAACACAAACATCACACCTCCTTAATCCTCAGTGTCTCTGTAGCATGAGTGGATCTGTTCGTGTGTTCATTTGAAAAATTTCAAAAGACCCTTTTTGCTAAATTCACTGTGGCAATGTCACTATAGGAGGTTTCTAGGTGGATTCTTGACCGATATTTTTAACATTACATAAGATACACTTTTTGGTGCTCCATTAAGAATATCATATATAACAAATATAACAAACATTTTACATCTATGATAAAACTAAACCAATAAACCAAGCACATTTTTTTAAACTGTCCTAGCTTTGACCCATTTATCCTTTTGCCTTGGTCGATGATGTCAAAACTCAGTAATGAATCACTCAGTCAAGTATAAAATAATCAGAGAACGGTATGTTTGTGTATCTATGGGATTATGTACATAAAATTACACATCACTTACACTGAGTTCAGGTATTGCATTTTGATCTTCCTGATTATGGAAAATCAATTTGTGAGTAATTCTGAAAGGAAAAAAAAATACAACCTTTGGATATAGCAGCGAAAATAGAAGTCATAAAAATTTTAAGCTGGTGCATATGCACTCTTGATGTGAACTCTAAGTGGATAATTAGGCTTTTTGTGTTTATGGAACAAGTGTTTTCATATCAGAGGTCAGTGTGAGCAGCATTTTCAATGATGTGAAAGTGTAGGCTGGGTTTCTGTCCCAAACTGGCCCACAAGAAGCTCTTCCTCTTCTGCATAAGGCCTCAGCACTGGGACAGGACACAGGTGTATGAGTCACCCACCTGACCAGGTCGATGACCCGCTCCCGGGGCGCAGCACTGACCGGCTCTTCATTAATCATTACAATCTGATCTCCCGGGATCAGCTTGCCTTCTGAGGGGCCACCTGGGAACAAATGAGAGCAAAGTGCAGGTGAGACCACTGGTAACCCAGCTGAAGCCTCCTTTCTTGATCATGGTTCATTGTGAGCACAGAGTGCAATCAGCAAAACCCAAACTCAGCCACACCTGGGTGTTGTTTGGACAATTCCAAGGCCCAGGCTGTACTCTATATTTGGGGGGTGGGACCCAGGCATGCCCATTTTCTAAAACTTCACAGCCAAGGATGAGACTTGGTAGCCCAGCAGCACCTCTCGCAGTTTAACGCACATATGAATCACCTGCAGATCTTGTTACCATGCAGGGTGCAGGGTGAGATAGTAGATTTCTCACAAACTCCCAGGGCCTGCTGATGCTGTTGTCAACAGATCGTACTGTGAGTAGCAAGGCCTCCAGAGGAAGGTATTCTCCCAACAGGGAGCATATCAGTTGGGTTGATACCCTGCAGCCAAAGCTATAACAACAACCTGGGCACAGCTGGATTGGAACACAGTTGCATTTAGTTACCCATTAAGTAGGGAGACAGTACACCGTGGGAATCATAAGGCATCTCAATAAGAGAGTGCTAGAAAGGAATTATGAGGTGGCCTTGTGTTAGGTGCTTTGGGGTGGGTTCAAGGATGCAGCGATTTTCCATGAATTAGATTTATCATGGATTAGATTTATCATAAGCATCTTAGTCATTGTCTGAAAGGTGGAAGGAAGCAGACCTAGCAGCTGTGATTGATAGAGAAGCAGCAGTCACTTGTATAAGCTGGGAGAGGGGTGAGCTTGGCGATTTCTGTGGTTTGGACTGTGCTTGGATGTTTGTGTCTGTGCTCATATATGATTACAGAAGAGTCTAGTTTTTGTCTTAATCCATCATGGTCACAGAGTGGCCTATTCTGCTGTTGATATTTGGTGAAATTGCTCATGTTCAGCAGGAGAACAGCCAGACCCAGCTATGAGGGCGCACCAGCTTCTGGATGTGAGCAGCTGCTTTTCTCTTTCAGTGTGTTCCCCAAGGAGGGATAGGAGACTAATATTCATTGGGCATTTATTATGCACCAGGCAATGTACTAAATTCTTTGCCTAGTAAACCCACTGAATACTATAATCCTTTCCACATAATGAGATAACTGAGGATCACACAGATTAAAGAATCGGCTTGAAGGCAGGAGTGGATCTCAGCTTTGGCTGACATCTCTTTTGAACTTGCTCTGATAACTCAAAACCTGGTCACTACCAGGTCTCTTGACACATGAACTTAAAGCAACATTTGCGTGAAGCACACATCTGTATTTAAATAAAACCTGATCTGGATTATTCTCACACATCCAGATATGTGCAGTTACCTCCCAAATATTGACATGGTTCTGCATGGAGCTATAATATAATTTTAACTATATTTCCAGAGGTCTGCTACTGAGTAACAGGTGCAGCTGAAATGCTGCCTGTCACATGTTATCACTACTAACTTTATTTAGTAATCAAAATGAACACTGCATGCCCAGAACATGGCACTACCAGTAATTCAGTTGTTCTCCACCCACACAGACACTTGGCGTATGTGTCACTCAAGCTGTAGCATAAATTTGTTTTCTTTCTGGGGAGTAAGAGAGTAGGGAAACCTTAAACGTGTCCTTATATCTGTGATAGAAATTATTCATTTCACAAATGTGGGAACTAAGATTCAGTGTTTGCACACATAAGGAATTCAGAAAAATTGCTTGGGAAATTTATTGTAACTATTGGATTGTGTGCAGGTAATCCTTTAAATTTAGTCAAACGAATGATTAGAAACCAGATACTGGTCAAATACAGAAAAATATTCAAAGTAACTGGAGGATGGATGGTAACTATTCTGATTAAAAGAAAAACACTCTCAGATTAATGGGACATATTTTTACATTTGAGTTATACTTTTGATCAAAAGGAAATATTCTTGTTTAATCAAGGAACTTGAATGAAGAATTCTGGAGGAAGAAACACACAGTTTCTTCCAAAACATAAAACAGTGGCACACTTCAGGGAATCATCTTGTGCCCTTTACTCTGAAGACTGGGTTATCTAGTATAGAAAATCTGGTCACGCCACTGACATCATTTGGGACTTCAGTAGAGTCAGTTTTATGATAGTTTATCTGACCACATTTTCACTGATAAAAATAACTGGAAATAGTACTCTTTGACCTCTTGTTTTCACTTTTTTTTTTACTCTTCTCAAAATTGTCTAACAGTAAGGTGTTAGTGTCTTTGAAGCCAAGGAGAGTCGAGGGCAAGAAAGGGAGAAGGATGAAGGGACAGTGAGATAACAAGAAAGTGGGAAACAAGACTTGAGTCTATAGTCAGTTCCTGGGAGGACACAGACTTTGGACTATCTTATAACCAGTATTACACAACAGCATGCCAAATACGATCCCATTTAGGGAAACCTGTGTATACATACATACACACATGTCTGACACATTATATATGAGACATGATGTGTATGTGTGTATTGTGTATGCACAGAATTATGTCTACATCACATATTTCTCTGTGTCAATAGTGGTTATCTCTTAGGAGTTCAGCTGGCTTTGACTTTCTCCTCTATACTATCTACATTATTTGTATTTTTAAAATAAAAATACATATTATTTTATTCTCATAAAAAGCAACAAGTCTGTTTTCAAAATAAAATTCTCAACTGTATCCAGTGCAATAATTCCACACAGAGAACTAAAATGTGACCTACATTTAATGAAATACAAAGCTCAGTGGACAGAGTAAGAAGTTTGCGGTGAGACAATGAAGAGGTGAAAAGGACACATTCTTCTCAGCACAAGTCCAGAGTGGTTGATTGTATGTGTGGTGCTTGCCCCGGACATACTATGTCAAAATGATGAAAAACGAAAAATTAAATCAACTTAAATAATCTACACTGGCTCACTAGTTGACTTTCATTTCCCTTAACTGAGGCTCAACTGGCCAAATATCTTAGAGTTTAATAATAATAACAATAATAGTAACAATACACATTTATGGAATGATAATGCCTGGCATTCTTCTAACTTATTACATCCTCTCCATAGCCCTGTAAGGTAGACACGGCTATGTCCCCATAATACAGATGGTGCAGAGGAGTTACATCAAACTGAAATGCAGGCGAGTGAATGTGGAGCCTAAATAGTCTCGTAAGGGGATTCAAACTTGGGCAGTCTGATGCCAGAGTCTGCTGTTAAGCACATAAAGGACAGTACTTTACTACTGAACTCTCTTACTGATTTGCAAAATCTTGAAGAAAAACAGTATAGAGGAGAATTTCCTTTTGTCCGAAAATAAATCCAATGAGTCCATCACAATAAGTACATGAATAAATAATAAAATGCACTCTGTTTCCAGAAAGACAAAGGCAGCCCACTTCAGGTGACTGTGTCATTGTCTATTGCACTCAACTATGTTGACAGCAGAACATCTGTATTCTCTAATACGAATGATTGAGGTAAAGAACTCTCATTATCTGATGTTACTGTAGAACTCAAGAGATTTGACGTGTACTATATAGTCAGATTTGTTATATACAAAACCACCCCAAACTCAGTAAGGTGCCCAGTAATCATTTTTCTCATGCTCAGGGTCTTAGGATGAGCATAGACTGGCTATTGAGAAAAGACTCAGCTGGGCAGTTCTGCTTCTAACTGCAGATCAGGCTGGACTTAGCTCTAGGCTGCAGGCTTGCTGCCGCAGGTGTTCGTTCTGGGGCTCAGGCTGAAGTGGGAGTGGCCACCTGGAGAAAACCCTCTTCTTATGGCCACGGCAGAAGTCCAAGAACCAAGCTCAGCTGCACAAGCATGTGTCAAGCCTTCACTTATGTCATCTTTGCTAATATGCCATTGGCCAAAGTCAGTCACCTGGTCCAGCCCAACAGCAGTGGTGTAGGGAAATATATTCTGCCTCTAATGGGAAGGGAGGGGAGTGCATATTTGCAAAATAATCCAACCACCCCAGTGACTAAGTCCTGCTGTCCCTTAAACACCACTTCCTGCTTTTCTTCACTAAGCAATCCAGCATGAGCTGACTGTAACACAGTCCGGTGCCTGCTTCTTATCGTTTGCCTTCACACATTAAAAAGTGGGTCATTTCCATGGTTACGAGTGAAGGATCAGTATTTTTCTGAGTCAAGCAATATGATAGATTTGGCAGTTGAAAACCTACTTTGAAGAGCCATTTCTGTCCCTCTGGAGGTCTGACTCTATCCAGGTGTTGGAAAAACTCACTAGTGGTCACAGCCTGGATACTGATGACACTGTACAGTAGTCATCCTGGCAGGGAGTGGCAGCTAGTCCCGGGAGACCAAGAAGTGGAGTTGAGTGCTTACCTGGTGTTACTGAGCGAACGACCACCGGCTTTTCACTCCCTGCCACAAAGCCAAATCCCAGCACAGGGTCCCTCCTCATCTCCACCTTCCGAGGAGCCGGGGGAATGATTTGACAGCTCTCTAGCCGAGGGTCATCAAATGGGATTGCCTGTGTCATGTGACTGTGGAAGAAGCACATACAAGAGAAACAAGGCATCAACGGAAGTCCTCAGCATTGGCCCAGCCGTCACATTCTCCCTCATTTCGAAACCTACTCTCTGTTTGGTAGAGTGTGGAAGAGATCAGGGAGACCCCCAGTCATGGTCTCCTTGCTATTTCTTGAAAACTCCTAGCCTACTTCTGCTTTAGGCCTTTGCACTGGCTGTTTCTCCAACCTGGAATGCTTGTCCTGCAGATATCTATGTGGCTCACCCTCACCTCTTTCAAGTCCTTGCTCACACATGACCTTCTTAAAGAGGACTATCCTGGCCATACATTTGTAAATGGCAACCCCATTCCCCAACACCCCAGTCCCTTTCACCCTCTTCTGCTTCTTTTTTTCTCCCATAGCATTAATCACCTGCGAATGGGCTGCAGAATATACTTATTTTTATTGTTTTACTCTCTACACTGGAATGTATGCTCCATGAGGGCAAGGAACTTAATCTTCTTCACTGATTTATCTCAAGTACCTAGAATACTGTCTGGTACATAGTAGATTTCTAATGAATGAATGAATTAATAAGTAGAAAACAAGATATTTTTTTGTAGAAAACTAGCAAGTTATAACTGGTATGCTGAGAACAGCCTCAGAAGGTTATGAACATTTAGTAGGTAATATCTGTGACTTCTGGCCCCAGAGAAATTAAAGTGATATAGATAATTTTGATGGTGACAGGTTATCCTAGTGCCAAACACATCCCCCTTTCCAGAGAAGTTGAGAATTTAGCTTTTGGCAGTAATTTTTTGAAAAGATTTTCAAATGATTTAAATGAATCTTTTCATTAAAAACTTCAGAAGTCTTATCAATCCAAACTTAAAATTTGTATAGCATTCAAAAATTTTCAAATGCTTCCACAAATATCTCATTTGATCCACAAAACAACCTTGAAAATGAGTGAGCAGAGCAGTTATTATTATTTGCATTTTCCTAATAAAGAAACCGAGATGAAAATAGTGGCTGATTGTCACTCAGGGCCCATGGCTGGTATGCCAGAGTGTTGGACCACAAACCATCTCCCATGACTAGTTCTTAATGAAATCTTCACTCCTGCACATTGTCCAAGGCAGCCTTCTTTTGGGGAAGAGTTATTAGTTTGAACACTAGAAATCTCCTTAAAATAATGTAAGCTAAGATTATTTCAATGACACGAGCTTACTTCATTTTTTCTCTCTCTAATCTTCTTCAATAAGTAAAAGAAGATCATTTTAAAATACCTTGGAAGATGCTACTCTATATGCCATCTGGACAACATATTGTTCAAATGTAATAAAGAAAGACAGGAAAGGAGGAATCCTGTTATCCTTCTGTGTAATTAATAAGAGTTAGGTAAGATCAATGAAAAACCTCAAGATCTGTCCTTTAGGCATATATCATTGTCTAGGAAAATAAAAGTTTAAAATCCCTTTTAAGCAGAAAGGAAATGTCTTATCGATTTAGCTGTTTGTAATCTGGAACACTAGGAAAAAGAAGAATTAGTTGGGAACTACATGTTCATCTGTTATCTTCTTTCATCCTTAAAACTCTCCTATGATGGAGGCAGTTTGACCCCACCCATCCCTACTTTGCAAATGCCCAGAGAGGAAAAATAAATGGGTCCAGATCACACTCTTAGATGTAAGCCAGGTGCAGTTCTTAGGCCTTCTGATTTTAAGTGTCATGTGCATGGCCAGCTATGTAATTTGCAGGGACAGTGAAAAATGAAAATGTGGGGCCACTTGTTCAAACACGATTAAGAATTTCAAGACAGCAGAACATTAAACCCAGCCCAGGACCCTGTGTGACTACATGGGTTTCACGCCCATGAAGCTATCCCAGGTATCCCACAACCATTCCAGGAAAGGCCAGGATCTGAGTGGCAGTGTTATAGGATCAAAGGGAAGGAGCTGGCTTATGTGAAGTTGCAGGTGTTTGTCTGAACCCAAAGGTTAGATATGACTCCGGTAGGGCATGTGCTTGGAATGGATGAAGGGAGGTGGGCAGAAGATCACATGGAGAGGCCTGGCATTCAGAGGACTTAATTCAATACCGTGAGTAAACCAGCAAAACCAATGCAGAGTGAGCCCCAGGAGTTTCAGACAGGGTCCTAGGCAGGGAGGGACTGAGACACAGGGAAGAAGTGGGGAAGCTGGGGTGGGGAACCATGACACCAGGAAGACCTCTGATACTCCCACAGTGTTTTCCACTGGGTGGGAACTTGACGTCCTGACACCGATCCCTCCTAGGCCTGTAACAGGCATGGCTGGAAGAATGGGGCCACCCATGCATGGTGACCACTGTTTTGTTCTCCTGTCTCCTCTGTATGAAAGCACCATCTCAGAGCATGCTGTTCCTGAGCTACTTCTGGAAAAAAGGAAGAAAGGAAGAAAGGAGGGAAGGGAAGGAGGGAGAGAGGAAGAAAAGGAGGAGGGAAGGGAAGGAGGGAGAGAGGAAGAAAAGGAGGAGGGAAGGAAGGAGGGAGGAAGAAAGAAAGGGAGGGAAGAGAATCCATATTTTTGGAGCTTGGCCCTGAGTTCTGAGTTCTCACCATAAAGCTTGCTGAAGCTAAGTGACTTGCTAATGGTCACATGTGTTGTGGAACCAAGGTTGAATTCACACTCAGTTCCAAGCAGAGAGAGGGACTGGGGAAGGCTTTTCCTCCTTCTGTTGCCAATTCGGTCAAAAGCTTACAGTGTTGGTTCCCAAACATTGCTGCAAATTAGAATCACCTGGGGAGCATTAACAAATCCTAATGCCCAGGTTGCACCCTAGACCAATTCCATTGGAATATCTGGGTGATTCCATAGTGCAGCCCAGGGAAGGGTGGGCTATAGTGTGCCTTCTACACAATAAAAAAAGGACACAAATGATGTCCCCAATATCTCCTCTAGCAACCTCTGCGAACATAATAAAAATATGTAAAACTCCTGTAGCTTGATCATCCTCTTTCAACTACATGATAAAATAATGTTATCTAATTTTTCAATGCATCATTCATCTGATAGTTATCAGATTATTCTTTTATTAATAATTGACATTTATTAAACACTAATTACATGCTAAGCATTGTTCTAAGTGCTTTCCATGTGTTCATTTAATTCTCCCAAACAATTCCATTCCCCAAATAATTCTGTGCACTCATTTATTCATTAGTCAATTTATTAAACACCCATTAGATTCTCAATTTTGGGAATACAATAGGAAAGAAAGCAGACACAAAATAAAATATTTACTCTAGGGTTCAGAGACAGAGAATAACTAATACATTAGTAAAATATACGGTATATCAGGTCACTATAAACACTAAGGAGAAAAATAATGCAGGGAGGAGGGATAGAGAGCTGCTGGGTGGGGGCAACACCCTGGGGAGGAGGATTTCCAAAGAGGGACCAGTAAGTGTCCTGAGGCACAAGGCACCTGCTGAGAGTATCACTAAGGAACAGCCATGATGGAGGTTGAATGTGTTGTCTCCTCAAAAACTCATGTGGAAATCTGATCCCCAATGTGGCAGTGTTGGAAACTGATTGAGTCATGGGGGTGGATCCCTCATGAATGGATTAATGAGCAAGTTCTCGCTCTGTTAGTTCCCGTGAGAGCTGGTTGTTTAGAAGACCCTGGCACCTCCTCTCTCTCTCTCTCTTGCTCCTTTCGCCATGTGATCTGCTTGTACCCGCCAGCCACTTTCTGCCATGAGTAGAAGCAGCCTGAGGCCTGTGCCAGATGCAGCTGTCCCAGAATCGTAAGCCGAATAAACCTCATTTCCTTATAAATTACCCAGACTCAGGTATTTTCGTTATAGCAACACAAACAGACTAAAACAAGCCATGAGGCCAGTGGGGCAGGGGTGGGGGTCTGGAGGCAGCAAGGGGAATAGTAAAGAAGTGATGGGAGGGTGCAGATCACACGGGCTCTTGGAAGGACTTTGTCTTCTGTTCTGACTGAAACAGGAAGCCATCAGAAGATTCTGAATGGAGGTGAGGTGATCCAGCCGCTGTTCTGAGAACAGCCAGAAGGGGGCACTGGTAGAGGCAGGGAGAGCATTTTGGGGCCTGCTGCAGCAATCCCAACAAAAGGTTATGGTGGTGGACCAGGGTGAGAGTGACATAGGTGGCAGAAATTGTTCGGTGTTTTATATATTTGGACGCCACTCTGACAGAGCAGGGGTGGGATGCCTACTCTGGAAACTTCTTCCTGCACATACCAGATGTTCCCAGTGAGGATGCACCTATGAGTGCATTGCCTAATAATACAAGTCCCATGTCCGGATGTATCCACACTACAGGGGACATTCTCTTCCAGGAAGTAACACTTTCTGGTTTGCACAAGAAACAAATAAATGTCCAGGTACAGGGTGAACTTGAGAACTGATATGGTCATGTGGAGTGAGACTTTGGAGCCAGACTGCTTGGATTCGAGTCCTGGCCCCACCACTTCCTGGCAGTGTGACCTGCACAAATTACTTCATCCCTCTGCACTGCTGTTTCCTCATCTGGAAAATGGTGATAATACTAGTAATGACCTCATAAGATAGTTGTGAAAATTAAATGAATGAATAAGTGTAAAGCACTCAGCAAAATGTCTGGTGCATAGTAAACACTCAAAAAGTATTAGTTATTATTTTCATCTCTGGAGATCATGAATACAAAGCAATAGGATTCAGACATTATGAATTCATGCAATCTTAAAATATGAAAACAAACTCAATAACATTTCAAATGCCTGTAACCCAACTTTAATGATGAAATGTCTCACAAATCCTAAGTTCTGAGGCCTTCAATTTGTAAAATCATATCAAATGTAATGACACAATAAATACAAATATAAATTGATATACACAAGGCAAGCTGTACCAGAACATAAAAGAATAAAAGAAGGTAGAATAGAATCTAGGCTCTCTAGTGACTGAATCATTGTTAATGAGTTTTCCTTGGCAATGCTTCTAGACCACTAAGTGACCATTAAGCACAGGGATGGGGAGTGAGC